GGGGTGGGGTCAAGGGGGTGGGGTGTGGGAGGCTGAAGGAGGCGTGCGTGTGGGCCCGTCGGCGCCCTGCTGCTGCACGCCGCTACGGATGGTATTGCAGTCATTTGCACAGGCGTGCGGCTGCGGGCATGTGAGGGATTGCAGAGGCGGACGGGGTCTGCGCGCTGCCCCGCCCATTGCATGCGCCCGGGTGGCGCGTGTCTGGGGCCGGCCGGAACGCGACGCGGCGCTTGCCAGCCTGGTCACGCCCAGCATGCTAGCTGGCCGTATGCGGCCGCATGGCAATTGAAATCGTGTGCAAGCGTTCCGCCGACGCTGAGCTGCCACCCACCGAATCCTTTTCCAGGTGCTCCGCCACGCCCGAGTATCCGAGGCGGTGCAGCGCCTGCTCCAGCAGGCGCACAAACTCCACGCGGTTGATGAGCCCCTGCGGGCCCACCCTGTCGGGCAGGCCATGGTCCTGCGCATCCATACGGCGCCGATTGAGCGCCTGGCTGCGGCCTTAGCGAGCGGGTTGCCACCGAATGCACCGACCAGGGGCAGACCAGGGGGCCCACCAGGCTCGATGTCATCTGTATAGTTTTATATAAAGCTCAAAGCATCGTTTCGTCGCACTGCCCACTGGTGAACGCTCGCACGGTGATCAGTGACAGATCAGACTGGTGAGAACTTGCAAATCACGCCTTGTTGGTGTGTCCGACTTTCCCTAACGCATTAACACGTAGCGTTCTGATTGAAGTTAATCGCGTTGCCCTCAGCTTGCTGTCTCGCCATCGTGGTGAGTGAGGAGTGCCTTGAGCCCCTGCGGAACAGGCAGCACCTTTCTGGCGCAGCAGGAGTGCGTAGCAGTGAGTGATCAATCGCCTGGGATGTTTTGTTATCATTGCGCAGCAGCCGGGTGTGTCGGGCGCGACTGCTCGCGATACGGCTGGCGCATGTGCAGCGTGCGGATGCCCAGATGCTATTGTGTCACAAGAGGCGGCGCGCCAGCCCCAGCACGGCAGGCCATCGCCACGCTGATGGCCGCGATCGCTCCTGCCGCCGCGCCTGCTGCTGATGTTCGGTGTGCAGGAGTGGCCCCGGGTCCGACGCGAGCACGCCAGCCAGCCGTGCCGCTCTGCGCCCCTCCAAACCGGCCTACCACCTCTGGCGGACACGCCGCGTGCGCCTTGGATTCGAACAGCAATTCAGAGTATCTGTGAGGAGGGGCTCAGCCCGGAGCGGCGCCCCGCGGGCCCCGCAATGGACGGCGACGGCGGCACCCCTGGCGCCGGCAGCCCTGCGCGGCCGGCGCCGCCCGGAGCGTCGGCGCTGCAGCACTCTGGGGGCAGCGTCTCGCTGGATGCGGAGGCGGCCCGCGCCGCTGCAGAGGCCGAGGGCCTGCAGACGCCCGCCGCCGCGCTGCGCGCGCTGCGGGTGTCGT